AATAAACTTACCTGATCTGTCGAGGAGACAGATGATAAAAGACCGATCAAAATTTGAATGCTGTCATTCAGTCCGTATCGTGTTTTTGGCCATTCTTAATGAATATGGAGCTATACGTGGTTCATATATAAGCTCCTTATATGGTGCTTAGTTGCAACGTATATGGCACATATAAAGATTTGGTATGTTTTGATCATACTGCACAGGTATTTAATATATTGGATGTATGTAATTTTATATAATAATATACAGGTCTCTTATACGGTTCTTAGTTTGCAATATACAGTAGATGGCCTCCGCATGCATTATTAATGGCGGATTGAGGCGGAGTCACTCAACATCGAGACTTCGCAGGTGCTTTTGTGACTCGCCTGACGTGCGCTGAGCAAGAATTACCCGGAGGTTGGCAAGAATTACCTGGAGGTTAGCAAGAATTACCATTCCTTCGGTTTGTACGTGGGAAATTGGCGAGTTGAGGGTTCATTCATTTGGGGAATCGGGAGACAGATAGCGGTGGGATGAGCGCGACCTCGATTATGTTGTGAGATATATTTATTTAACAAACTGCTGGATGTAAGGCCATATGGAAGGCCTCAACGTGCATGTGCGTCCGTCCGTGGACATTACATGGACTGAATAGTTTCCAAATATATTATAAATACATTTTTTTCCGTATAGTTCGTCATAAACATTTCAAACCTAGCGCCATATATGGGGGTCTGCATATGAAATATATATATTTATTATATATTTATTATATATATTTATAATATATATTTATTAAGAATGGCCAAAACACGATACGGACTGAATGACAGCATTCAAATTTTGATCGGTCTTTTATCATCTGTCTCCTCGACAGATCAGGTAAGTTTATTTTATTCAAGGGAACGTTTATTTCATTCAGACTTTCACTCGACCGTTATGCAAGAAATGCCATCGGTTTTCCCCCGCTTCGAATGGGAAGTTTCCTAAATCCGCAGGAAAAGCGCGAAAAATTCCTTTCCTTCGCCAATTACGGTTGTCAGAATTTTGACTTTCCGTGGCATTTCGGGAAAGGGAAATGGTGTCGCCTAATCCACTTGGGTATTGGCTTCATTTTCCTCGAAGCTTCGCTGTGATTTTCCCTTTTCGATGGATTTCCTGGAAATTGACTTTTGGCGGAAACATGAGATTTTGCAGTTGTATTTTTGCAAACTCCGTTGCCGTCATTTTTGCGTGGAACCGGTTGTTCCTGGCAGGAGGGAAGAAGGTGGCTTCGTGCGGATTTAGAAGTCGGTCTGGCCTTCTTTGATTCTTCTCTGCATAAATGAATAAAATCCATTTCGACGAGTTCTGCATGAGAATGCGTTCGTGCAAATTTTCCTTTCAGAATGCAGAAAAGCTGAACCGATCTTCCGCGATCGATTTCCTTTCCCTTCCGCGATCGGAATTGCAAGCCACGATCCCTGCCAATCCCTGCCAATCCCAGTCAATCCCAGCCAATCCCGGCCAATCCCTGGAAAGCCCTCTTCATCGACGATTCAGTACGCGATACGATGCGAGGTCCTGCCAGTCCTCCGCTTCTCTAGGAACGGTGCCAAGTACCCTGCAGCAAGTACTGGAGGAACTCAACAAGGTTCCTGGCACTATAAAAACGATCGTGAGATGGGTCTGAAGCACCAACGGATACGAATGATAAACGACAAGAGAAAGTGAAAAAATGATAATTGAATTACTAAAGAGAAAACGTACTTTAAAAAAAAAATAATATAACCTTATTTCGTTGTTTCATCCACTCAGCCGGGTCTGAGAGAAAACAGCGCATGAAAAAACATGAAAAATGCCGACGAAGTCGGCCGAGAACATGCACCAGACTCATCTGCATCAGCCAGCATCCATTCATCTCGTTCCAGCGTCTGGGGAGAGGCTTCGACGCAATCCTGCACCAAGTCTCCGCGATGAGCATGAACTCTCACCTCGTCACCCCCATCCCCTCCCCCCCCCCTCGCCGTAGCGATTATCCTTGG